TGAGAATGCTTTTTGTTGGCTCTATTATTATTCGGCACATTGCGCTGATTGAACTTAATTGAATTATGTGCTGTGTGTGTGTGTGTGTGTTTGTGTGTGTGTGCGTCAGTTACATCTTGCTCTAGCATTGGGTCTCTCTGCTCCCATCGGCCCTGAACTGTGACCCGGTTTGCCTGGCCCCTCTGCGCCACAAAAAACAGGAAATTTATGTTTTTGTTTCTTTCGAGTTGGTAACCAGCTTTTGGCCTAAAACCCATTTGTTTTGGCTCTGTGTTTACCTGTACACATATGTCGCTATATTTCTGAATGTGGTCGTGTGTGTGCGTGTGTGTGTGTGTGTGTGTGTATTTAGCCGCAGCTGCTGGCATGAAAATGCATTTAACAAAAACTGTTTCTGTTTACCTTTCACATACGGCCATTGAGGGCAGCCCACACACACACACATGCATCAACACACAACATACACACATCAACACACACACACACACACACAAGCGTTGTTTGTTTATGCTTTGCACTCACAGATACTTTGCGTTTTTAGCTGCAGTTCTTTTATGCATCCCAAAGATACACAACCTATGCCCATTGTCAGCCGTCAGTGCAATATGGCTTGCAATTTTTTGTTCAACAAAAATAAACATTTGTTGTAAACACTTGCTGTGAGTGGTAGGCGATGCGGCTTACACTGACACAAAAATGGTGGTTGATTATGTTTTCATATGTTTATTTAAGCGTAAATGCTGGGATCCAACTTTTTTTTTATGGGAAAGATTGTTTATTTTTTTTTTAATATATTTATTTATCTTTTGTGTATCTCTGGTTACATGAAAGAGCCGGGTAATATTGTTGAATTTCCTAAAATCTAATATATTTTATTGAGCCCATAAAGTGCAAGAACTTTTGCCTATGTAATCTGTCAATACTTCTGTTCGTAATATTACAATATTCTTACAAATAAAAATATATTATATATCTACTACCTTTTACTATTGCTTATACTACTTTTTATACCCTGAACCCATTAAAAATGGGTGTAAGGGTTTATTGTATTTGTGCAAAATCCAAATGTATGTAACAGGCAGAAGGAAGCATCTCCGACCCCATAAAGTATATATATTCTTGATCAGCACCAATAGCCGAGTCGATCTAGCCATGTCTGTCTGTCCGTCCGTCCGTCCGTATGTATGAACGCAAGGATCTCAGAACCTAGAAGAGCTAGAGATGTAGATGCTCCTAGCTCCCGCGCAGATTGAGTTTGTTTCCGATAATCGATAACTTCCTCCGTTTCCAAGCAATCGATAAAAATCTATATCGATATCCTGTTTTTTTTTGGCAATTTTGGTAAATAATAAGAGCTAGAGTCACCAAACTTGACATATAGCTTCTAAAATAGAATATATATATGCATTTGATGTTGGAAGAAGAGGGTTCAGGGTATCCCCTAGTCGGGAGCTCCCGACTAGAACCTCTTACTTGTTTCTCTTATACTTGCTACTAAATATACCTCGGCGTAGTACCTTTTATATTTATATTAAGTTTAACTATTTATTCTCTGATTGTTATTTTTACTTCGTTTTTTCTTACCACTTATACGATTTTTTACGTTTACTACTATTTATAGTTTAACATACTATTACTTAATTATTCCTTTAATTGTAGTTTTTACTTCATTTCTTCTACTACCTATGCTATGACTACTAATATTTGTTTCATCTTATACGATTTATACCGTTTACTACTACTGATACTTCTTACTAGGGCTTATACTACTTGTTACTCTTATACTGACTACAAAATATATTTCGGGGCATATATTATTATTATATTATATTATATTATATTATATTATATTTATACCCTTTACTACTACTTCTACTTTTTACTATTGCTTTTAATACTTGTTACTCCAATACTTACTTCTAAATATACTTGGGAGTAATATATTTTATATTTATACTACTATTTACTACTTATTGTAGTTTTTCCTTCGTTTCTAATACTGTCTATCCTACGACAACTTATATTTCTAACAATTACTTATATTATATGTTCTACTTATACTTACACTACTTGTATACAACTTATAACTCAATATATTTCCTTCTATTACTTATCCTCTTTTTCCTAGGCATATAATATACTTTACGTATACGTTCTTATACTTTACAACTTATATATCAAAATATTTCTTACTTTTACCAATACTTATACTACTCCATTCTACGCACACTACTTGTATTATACTACTTTATCTTCTTATACTTTAAGTCTTATACTTTCTACTAATATATGTACATAATACATACATATATAAATACAGCTTATATCTCTCATGCTTTCTTATACTTCTTACTTATACTTCTTTATTCTACGCATACTACTTATATTATATACTCTTATACTTTCTACTAGAACTTCCTTCTTTTGCTTTTATTCATTATATAAAAAACTCTTGATGTTATCACATATTCTCTGCAGAAGTACAGAAATAGATACAAAAAGTTGTTAACAAACTAAATATAACTTTACAATTTATTTCTTAAGCTGACAGATTTTTGCACACAATATGTATGCACTTTTTTCTCACAGTGCACGCGCTCGTATCCATTATGGCCGACTCTGAACACTTAGTTTTCCGTAGGCGCAACACGTGCACCTATTTTGCATAGGAAATCACATTCCCCATGCGCCGCAAGTAATTGGCCACAGAATATTATAAACTGTGTAAATGTACTTCAAATTTTTTATGATATTTTTTTTGATTTGTTTATTGTTTGTGTTTGCCCTTTGGGCAGAGAAGTTCCCCGAATTCAACATACACAAACACCTGGCATGTAGAGTTCCCTTGAATTTCTTTTTATGTCGACATAAAACCAGTTTTTATATTCGTGCTAGCCACAGAAGTCAGGCAAAACAGTTGGTCCAGTGGTCCGGCGGGGCAAAACCCACACAATTTATTATGCATTTGCGATTATTTAATAAATATATATATATGTATATATGAGTAGGTATACTATATGGCATTTAACATTTGGTTAACTTTTTATTGTCAATTAGCAGCGTCTCGCCATATCATTTGTCTTTACTCGAGATCGCGCATTACACAGATCGTCGGATGTATTCTCTATATCATTCGAAAGCCATATCAAATTCTCGAAATGCTAATTAAATTGTTAATTTATTGTTGTTTCTTATGCACATTAACTGCGCACTTTCAATTTAATTTTTTTTATCTCTTAGCTGACATTTCGAACCAGGAATCTTTTGTAAATACACATCAGCTATTTTCCATACAAGTTCTAGGAAGTTAGCATAGGTAAATTTAGTTTTAATCACTTAGTAAATAGTTTATGTTAATGTTGTAGCTTATATTATATTATGTATATATACTGAAGTATATCATAAACAAAGAGTATTGCATGTATTTCCATTCCATTCCCTCAACATTTATTCTAAAAGGAATTTCTTTAATTCCTTAATGATTTTTGGTATATACACACAGTCGAATACTATCTTAAAGCTCTGCTAGTTTCATAAAGATCGGACAATAAACTCAGAAGTTATTGAAGAATGAAATTTTCAATAGGATGCGTCCCAACTGGAGAACTGTTGTGTTTATCAGCCCCTAACTATTTCATATTATTTCTAGCTTTTAGCTTATTAGAGCATATCAATAGCAAGTCTTAAGTTCCATTAAGACCTTTCACTCCAAACAGCATACATTTTTGCAAACAGCTTTAAGTATTTTATGGGGCATATTATTTGAGTTAAAAGTTAACGCTCCATTGCTAATCAATTACTTGGACAAACCTTGAACTCTCGAGGTAAACATTTAAATTTTAGCTAAATATATGTCTGCCCCACACACACATACATGCCCTTTATATATATTTTTGTTTATATTTAAGTTTTGTTTAAACCTTTATTTTCGCATTGCCAATGACAAATGAGCGTGTGCAGCAACAACAGAAGAGGAGAAGCGAAACTGCGATGACCCAAAAAAAAAAATTAATAAAAAAGTCAAAAAAAGCAGAGAAAAAGTTATATATATTCGATAAGTTATTGACATTTTTTTAAGGCCCAAATTATTGTGTGTCATGTGAAAGAGCCGCAAAGTCTGGGAAAATTTCTAAAAGAGAAACAGTTGGCAAAAATGGCATCAAAATAAATGTAATTATATGCCAAATACGCCAGCAAACATTCTGCATGTGGGCGATATCACCCAATTGAGTGGAACATAAATGAAAGTCAAGCGTGAATTGAATTATATAATGATCAGCTGCCGCCCACGTCAACCGCAACAACTTGTCGCCTCTCACTGCCAGCTCGCCCGCTCTCTGGCATTAACACATTTGAATGTGGCTGAGTCTGCGGAAAAACTTGTTTTCTTTCTTTTTCTTTTTTTTGTCTGCCAACCAGCTGTCCGCTTTGAAAATTAGCCATGAAAATGTGTCTGGGAGAGATGCCAAGCGATGCCATCTCAGAGCTCAGCTGGAAAGTAAAAGTGCTGTGGCAGCGCCTACTTTTGCTTTCATTTAACAACAACTTTAACTGCAGCAAAAACAACAACAGCAAGTGCAACTATTACAAGCACTTGCTTTCAATAAAAACAAAAATTACAATTCATTTAGTTGACTTTAAACTTAAGAAAAAAAACAATATTGTTTTTCCACTTTCATATTTTCGAGTGTGCATATTTTAAGGAATTTTATTTTTTAAGTTTATGCGCTCGCTTAACAGCAATTATAATTCATTAAAGCGTATTTCTCTTTGGGCATGAACCCAATTTTCTGAATATTATTTCGTAAAGCCTGAGGACCCAACCGAGCTTGGCGAAATTTAATAAAAAACATTTATAAAAAATATATATATCCTTTTCTTAATTGGACCATATTTTATTCTACTCAATTCTTTTCAACTCTATTCTCAATATTCTATTCAATTCTTTTTATATTCCATTGCAATGAAACTTTAAAAGAAACTCCATTTTTAACACTTACCTGCTCAGTCGAAGTTAGCATCCATATGATCCATGAGTAGGGCAAGCTAGAATATGACCCTAAGTCATATCGAATGATCAGTTTTCTGTCCTCCTTCTCTGGGAGAAACTGATTGTCGCCCGACTTGCAGGGCTTATCGATCGCTTGGTCATCCGTTGGGTTCAGGCAAGGCCGCTGTTGAAGTACTTAGGGTGCTAAACCATATCGTTAAGACAAAACTAATGCTATGGGTTCTTTGTAAACGTTAAGCAGGCCTTCGACTGCGTCTCGATTGACGGATTGATCCAGAAAATCAAGATGAGCTTCCACATTCCCTTCTTGCTACTCCGGCAGAATTTAAAATCAGGCCAACAATCTCTCCTTTTCGCAAATGTAGGCGCTTGTCCCCCAAGGCTGGGTCCAAGCCCCTTACTTTATAATATGTACACGGCAGATATCTCCACTCCACCTCCCGCAAATACCTGGCACTATTCTAGTTTCAATAACTATGAAATTATGCCTGACCTTTTCCAGTGTATATCTTATGAGATATAATAAAAGGAACTGGAATGACAATCTGAGAACCTCACTTTTCAAATCCTTCAATCCCTTTATCCATGTTTTGGTTCCAAAACATGATTTTCTTTTATTAAAATAGTTTGGCAAATATTCCAAGATGTGTTTAAAAGCCAAGCCAAGTTCGACTAGAGAGCTCTTGTATTAATCGCTATTTAATTATTTCATATTATTTCTAGCTTTTAGCTCGTTAAAGTATATCAGTTGAAAGTCTTTAGCTTCTTTAAGAGCTTTAAGTCCAAGCAGCAGAAATGTTGTTACGAACTGATTTTAACAATAGTTGGCCTAGTTAAGCTTTATATTCAGTGTAATATTATTTCAGTCAAAATAGATTCCCAAAAAAATCGATTACATTTTATTGAGTCCATAAACCCAAAGAAGTCTTCAAATCGGGTCAAGATGCCGCGCATTAAGCAAACCCCTCACCAACAAATTATTGGCAAGGCGCCACGCAAGCCGCTGGCACCGAAGGTGACCCGCAAGACGGCAGTCCCTGGGATCGGGATCCCCGAGTTGAGGAAACCCCATCGCTATCGACCCGGTGCAGTTGTGCTGCGTGAGATACGTCGCTATCAGAGGTCCTCGGAACTGCTCATACATAAGCAGCCCTTTCAGCGGGTGGTACGTCAAATAACCCAAGAGTTTGGCTGTCGAATGCGCATCCAGCCGGCGGCCCTGGCTGCCATGCAGGAGGCTGCCGAGGCCTATCTGGTTGGGCTGTTCGAGGAGTCTAATCTGTGTGCGCTGCATGGCCAGCGAAAGACCCTTATGCCCAAGGATCTGTGGCTAGCTCAGCGTATAAAGGGTGACAAATAGTCGGGAATATTTGAATATTTCTTTGTTAGCTGTTTCGAATGTTTTTAGTTTCTAGTTCAAAATGTTTTCAACGATTTTTAAATTGTTCAATGCTTTGTTAAGTTATGATTACAAATTTTATTTAGAGTTAATAAAATTGGGTAGTTACCAACTATTCTATGAGAGCAATTACCGATCCGCGCAATACATAGTCAATTATAGAAATTTGATACCATAAATTAATTATTTTTTATAACTTTACTTTTGTATGTGTTTTGTTCTTTTTGCGTATATGACGGAATCAGCCCGTTTGGAACTCTTTTATACAGCTGTGATAGGAAGGATAGGTAGAAATTTTATTTATTGTATGAGAAACTAGTTTGTTTTGCAAGATATCTTGACCAAGCCCGGCAGTAACGAAATTCGATATGCTCTATTATCCACGGCGAATATCTCGAACAAATTCAATTTGCTTCTCATAAATTTGCAAAATCTTATCAATATCGGGGCACTATAATATATATAAACCTGAGAAGAGATCTGTCGAAAAATAGGTTATTATTTTGGAAAAATACTCTGTTTTTCATTATATTTCCATCAAGAGTTTCACTATGCTCAAATATTTGTAAAACCTTAAGACAAGTGTCTATAAGACAAATGTCTATAAGGGTATTAAATCTTCGGCGTACCAAAGTTATCCCAACTTTCTCCTTCAAGAAGCAGTTAAAAGCAGTGCAATTCTTCCCTAAGATTTCATCTTCTATGTAACGAGATTTAGAATTAACTTTCATACTTCTACTTGTAGTCAACTCTCCTGTCAAACCAAATTGCAATTGCATAAATAGTTGGTCGAAAATTGCCACAGCGTATTATTTCACGACTTACATGATCCGCAGCTCATTTGCCATGCTGTGAGCTACGCGAATGCGCTAAAAGTTTTTAGCTGACGCGACAACAATGAATGAACTCACATGAGTCACAACTCCAATGCACACACACTTCACACACACACTCTCTGCAGACCTGGCTTAAAATGTTAACTCATCTGGCTGCTCGTTTGCGCTTGTGTGGAATAACCTCAATTTGGTTCACACTGCGGATTGCGACTGCGTCATGGCTCTAACTATTTTCGTGCTCTTCGTAACGAAAAGCGAAAAACCCAAAAAAAAAAAAAAAAAAAAAACGACCCAAGCCCAACCAAATACCACAAACTACAAACCAGTACACGTGCAATTGTGTCCAGCAACAACAATAACAAAACCAATAGCAATTGAAATTTGTCGAGTCTTTTTATTGCTGCACAGTGGGACGGCATAGCAAAAAGTTGGGCAAAAAGTTGTAATGAAAGACTTGCTTTAATTTCGTAAATATTAGACTAGAAAAGCTTTCTCAATTTTATTATTGGAGCCAACCAAAAATAGTTTTTGTTTTATTAATATTAAATTTTTGATTGGAACACGTAAATTATGCAAAAATTTGTTTGATGTTATTTGTGTATAATTTCTCATTGTACTTAAATCAAGGAATCTTAAATGTCGCTCTAGTTTTTTAATACTTCAAATCTTCTCCATTAAATAAATGCGAACGTCCGAATTGGAAAGAGACCTACGCGTGTATACAGCATTATATCATCATAATTAACTTGCCAAGCGTCTTTTAAAGAGATGTATAATTTGAGAAGATTGCAAAGGTCTCATCCAATCGACCTTTCAGATCCACTTAGATACCCAACCAGTTTTTGTTTGTTCTCTTTTGTTAGACTTATCTTTAGAATAAGAATAATATAAAGATAACTTTTTGCTAATATTTTTAAAGGCATTTTCAGCTCAATTAAGATTTTTACACCAAAATATATCGAATGTTACCACTGTGCAACGGTAGCCCTCTTCTGTCAGTGCCCAATTTACCAAACGCTTTTCAATTTCGTGACATTCAAATTGGACACATAAAAAGGGCACAGATTTTCGAATTAGTTGCCTCCGTATTCGCATGCAGCAAGTGGCCAAATGTTTGTTGTATTTGCTTCAATTTTCAGTTTAATTTGGTCACCATAAAAGGTTTATTTTTGTGGTACTTGGTGGGCGAATAAGTGTTTGTTGATTGACGGCCCTCGGCTGATTGAATGCGTCAAGATTCAGACAAAGCTGATCCAAATGGGCTGCTTAAAACAAAATGACAGTTGCTGCTAAATAATCAAGTGAGATAAATTTATAATAATACATTACAAAAATAAAAAAATTTGCCACGAGCTTTTATTTAATCCATAGAGTATAAAAAACGTTATGTTCTGAATTTTAAAAAGCTTTAAGCTTTTGAAAAAACAGCTGAATCTTTAATATTCTGCAGTAAAACACTCTACAGCTTAGTTTAATTTTTGTTTTCTTGTTCTGAAAGTAAAAAGATTCAAACTTTTGAAGCCGTTAAAAATCTAATATAAATATTTTGCAGTAAGGTGTTACAGCTCAGTTTTATTTTATTTAAAGCCTCCAAACTACAACGAAACAGTGGGTCGAGCTAAAAAACATTAAGACGTAAAATTTTATTCAATTTAAAAGCTTTTGCATAAAGAACTCAAGCTTTAATATTCCACAGCTAAAAGTCCTAAATGTCAGTCTAATTTTTGTTTTCAATCGTGGTTTAATCTTATAAACTTTTAGACTTCAGGTTCTAAAATTAAATCGTTAAGCTTTTGTGAAAGCTTAAAAGCGTATGTTTTAAACTTTCATGTTTAAAGTTCTTAAAGCTCAGTTTTCAAATTTCTAAGCCAAACGCAGTTCCTTATATTTCAACTCCCCTTAACTATTTCCATCAGAGATAATACTTTCCGGCTCTATCTGGAGCCACCCTACAAAATGTGCACTGCTCCTGTAAATTAAAAAAAATCAACCCCAAAGAAACACATAAATTGCCGTTCAGTTTGCCGCTCGGTCTCACTTTGCCGTTTCATTAGGCAGCATAGATTGAAATCTTGGCCACACCAAATGCAGCTTATGGGCCCGGCCTACAGCCATATATGAATATATATATAAAAGTCTGAACAGACGACAAGTCGCGTGCCCAATTTGGAGCCAAACTGGCTCAGTAAATCAAATTTAGTATTTGCCCCAAATGCATACGAATATTGTATCATGTTTTTTCTTTCTTTGGTTTTCTTTTTTTTTTTTATACAATTACTCTAATGACAAGCTCTATGGAATTGGTGGAGATATACGAGATATGCGACACGAAACGAATTCATTTGCTCGTTAATGTGCTGCTGCATAATTGCCGCTAATGCAGTTCAACAATTAGACCAAATTGCATCGTTTCCCCTATAAAAATGCCTATTTTGATTGTAATGCTCTATGATCAACATACTATTTATATATGTATAGTTTTGTCGTTACTGTCATATTGTAATTGCTTGACACTCTCTTTTTGTTTTGCCATTCACAGTGAATGGGCTACAGTCATGCATTTGGTACAGTCTCAGCAAAGATAGGGTAAAAAACTTCAACATTTAAATACTCTTCATATTCTATGAATATTATGACACAATGTTGGTCTCTCCTTCTCTCCCTATCTCTCTATTTAAGGTTAATTGCCATGTAATTACTTTTTATTCTGTTCTTTGCTTGCTTTTTATTGGCTCATTTGCCATTCACAGCGAATGCAGAGTAGTGACACCTTTGGTTAGAGTCTTTGCATAGTTGGGATAAAAAACCTGCCGTAATATACGCTTCTGTATTCTATGAATATTATATCATAGTGTCTGTCTCTCCCGTTCTCTTTACTGTTTATTATCATGCAATTGATTTTAATTCTGTTCTTTGTTTGCTTTTTATTGGTTCTTTTGCCATTCACAGCGAATACAGAGTAGTGACACCTTTGGGCAGGATATTGTAATATATATATGGACCGCACATTTGTCAACTTGATTAGTGCACATAAGTCTTTGCTATTCAATCGCACGAAATGCACAAATTTATTTATTTTCGCTTTTAATTTGTGGCGCGGCTTTTGTTGTGGAACCAATTTTATTTCTGTGATCAGGCGATTGTGTAGTTGTCGCCAACTAAGCGGCTTATGAACTGGCTTTGTGTGACTTGATTTCGACACGAGCTTTACATGTAATTGCAACTAAAGTAGTTTATGTCAATATATCAATTCAAAAAAATTTCAATTTATTATAATTAAGTTATGCACGCTGAATTGGATGTGGGATGTGTGAACCAAGTACTCGTTAGTTTACTAACAAAAAAAAAAAAAAAAACAAAACATTTGATGTATGTGTTTATTCAAGTGCTGCCTTTTAATGGGCTATGAAAATATTCAAATTATTTTAAATTTCTCTCAATAGATTGTCTTTTTATACCCTGAACCCATTAAAAATGGGTATAAGGGTATATTGCATTTGTGCAAAATCTCCGACCCCATAAAGTATCCGTCTGTATGCATGAACGCAAGGATCTCAGAACCTATAAGAGCTAGAGCTAGAAATTTTAGATGTAGGTGTTCCTAGTGCCTGCGCAGATCGAGTTTGTTTTCGATAATCGATAACTTACTTCGTTTCCAAGCAATCGATAAAAATCGATATCGATATCCTGTTTTTTGGGCAATTTTGTTAAATAATAAGAGCTAGAGTAACCAAACTTGACATATAGCTTCTAAAATAGAATATATATATGCATTTGATGTTGGAAGAACAAGGTTCAGGGTATCCCCTAGTCGGGAGTTCCCGACTAGAACCTCTTACTTGTTTCAACTTAAATATTGAAGAAAAAAACGAGAAAGTAAAGTTAATTTCGGCACGCTGAAGATCGAATCCTTGTAGACATTTGAAGTTCGTAATTGCTCAGTTGAGATGCAAAATATTTTGAAAACCAGAGTATTTTGCCATATATGAAACCACTTTTCGACAAATCGTTCCTATGGTAGGTATATGATATAGTGTTCCGCGCTTGATAAGATTTTGCATATATATGGGGACGAAAGGGAAACTTATAAATGTCGAGTTTGCTTGAGATAACTCGATAAACAAAAAAGTTTTAGAAACAAGAACCTATATTTCGACTGATCTTTTCTATGTCAGCTATATGATATAGTGGGTTCCGATATATGTACTGCCTGTAACAGACAGAAGAATCTATGCAAAGTTTCGATAGACGATAGCTTTAAGACTGAGAGACGAGTTCGTATAAAATAAGACGGACTGACAGAAGAATATTCCAATATCATGTCGGCTGTTGATGCTGATCTACAATATATACTTTATTGTGACGGTAACATCTCCTTCT